AAAGAAAAAAGTATAACAAAGATTTATAACAAAGATTACAGACTAATTTTTTAAACATTGTCTGAATGTGACTATTAACAGCATAAGACTTATTTGTTTTTATGTGAATGTTAAACGCAGGCTTATATTGGCTTTTACACAAATTACTACAGAATATTAAGTTACAAATACACATTCTGCTTAGATATCTGGTTATTTGAATTGTCAGATTTGATCTTTGAACCTTTTGTTAATTCTCTCACCTCACTTCTTCTCGCCTTTTATTTCTAAGTGAAATCATTACTAATGCTAGCAAAAATAAGAAGGTCTAAAAAACTCTTCATAAGCTCATAGTCAATCACATTTGATATTCTTCCAAATTGGTTTGCCTTTCTCAAATGTATCTTTATCCACAGAAAAACACCTTTAGAAAGAATTTGTGATATTGACAAACTTGTAATATATGTCTTCAGTGAATTTCTCTTCACACATCTTTTAGCAATGAATATACTCCATTGTTTACACTCAACATCTGAACAAATACTTTTTAAAACTGCTTGAGATACATACAACAATTTTAAAATAATCTCCAGACCTTTCTATTTTTTAAATTTTTTTACTAAATTTTAAAATGAGAATTATTTACAACAGTTCACTGGATCACTGCCCCAGAAAACACAATGATTGCTGTCACGAGGCTGATCGAAGGATCAGAAAGCATCTAATGAAGTCATAAAAACAATCAAAAAAAACCCCTCCACACCACAAAGCCATAAAGCCCTTGGATCTACCTTCTCTATGGAGGGATTAAAGAGAAGTTCTTAAACAACAACAAGCAGGATTAGACAACATCAATTTATTACTCAGCTGAGGACAGGGTTTGGGGTTTTTTTTTATTAACATTAACAAAAATTAGTACTTTTGTCTTTAATCCGGTTGATCAATTAATAATAGAAATTGATTAATCTAGCACAGAACTCAGGAAGGTCTAAAAGACTCAAAAACTAAGAAACAAAGTAGTTCTCACTTCATACTACAGCTGAAAAGCAAAGATGGCGCTGAGTTTAATGACAGTATATGCTTGAGCTAAATAAAACAACTAGAAAACCCACACACAATTAAACAGCCAAACATCCTCCTCTAACATCAACCATCGGATAAGATTTTCTGTGTCTGTAAGACTGCAGAATTTTTTTCCCCCCAAGAAATAACTGTTTATCTTAAAACCAGTACAGCGAAAAAGCAAACAAGCCAAATAATGGTAATTTCAAACTAAGTTCCAACTCTATGTTCCAGTTAAGAGAGAGGAACAGTTTATTTCCCATTCAAGTAAAACATTTCAGAACTGGAAGTGCTGTCACCCAAACACATTTTCAAGAGAGACAGATCCAGTCCTTTAAAACTAACATCTAAATGCCCAAATACTGCAAATATTATTTTATTTTCATTTCTTTTGAGTTTTTTTTGTTGTTGTTCAAAATGAAATGTATTACCAATGAAAAACTGTCTTAATCTTCTACAGAA